TTTTTTAAATTCAAAAAAGAAGAGAGACTCTGATTAGCGTTTTGGAAAGAGGCGCGTAACTGTAATTAGAGGCCAGAAAAACTACTTCTCAGCTTTGAAGTACTAACATAGTTCCTATCACGGGAAAACGTGTTGAATAGCAGTTCTACTGTGAAGAATTGCTGGGGAGATAGTCTTTGCTGTGAAATACTGTAGCAAGAGTCTTATCTCACAGTCATTTATGTTCCTGTTTTAGTCATCAGATCCATTTGTAGGATGTAGCTGGTGTTTTCATGTACTGCTAATCTTTTACATGGGGTTTAAACACAAACCTAATTCCTGTGTCTGTTTAACAAGGGAAAACTTTGCCTGCATTTCAGGCCAGTTCATCTAACACATAGCTTCAAATTCTAAAGCTAACGTTATGGTACTTATAGGATGTTCCAGGATGAGGGCAACAGTGAAAGTGAGAGTAATTATGATTTATGTGTTCCCTGAATTGGCAATATGTAACTCTGTGATTCATAAAGCATGAAGGGCTGTGCCTTATTAAACACCATCTTATGCTTTACTACTGGCAGTATAAATGGACAATAATGCTTGGGTACCTTTTTACAACTGATTATAATCAGATTTATTTTTTTCTCCTGTAGCCGAATGAGTAAGTAGGTTTACCAATATGCTCTGCTTGTGCTTCTATTGTTTCTGTACAGCTGTTTAATGTTAGGAGGGAGCCTGGGCTTCTGTCATATCAACGTTTAAATCTACCTTAGCAATTTCTGTTTTGTAAGGGAAATGGCTTGCCTAGCTTCCTCAGGGGGGTAAGTATCTTACAAGGATGCTTTCCACTTTCTTTTTTGCTTTCTTCAGTGGGTATACAGTTTAGAATTGTTTAGCCAGAAGGTAGGTTGAGAAGTTGTCTTAATTACTTAAACTACCAGGTTTTATGGTGGAAAGAATTTGTCTCAAAACAAAACCAAACTCGCACATATGACTTCTAAGTGACCAAAATTGTCCCTGTGTTCATAAAGGGTCAATTTAGGAAAGAAAGAAAAAACAGTGTGAATTATTCAAAGGAATTGAAAAAATACAAATACAAAATATAGCATATACTAGTGTATTTTTTTCTGATTGAGATCTGAAAGAGAATGTGTCCAGATGCTATTTATATGAATGACACCTTTTTGATGAAAATATTCAGAGCATGTATTAAGTTATTAAGAGGCCAGTTTTTTAAATTGCCTGATTTGCAAAACCAATGAGTGCTGCTGTTAAGCATGGTGTTAGAATGGCGTCTCAACCTGCCCCTGTCCCTTCACAGGTGAATGACCTGTGCTGGCATGTCCGGTGTCTGTCCTGCAGTGTATGCAGAACCTCCTTAGGAAGGCACACCAGCTGTTATATTAAAGACAAGGACATTTTCTGCAAACTTGATTATTTCAGGTATGCATGAAGCTTTTTCTCAGTAGACATATTGAGAAATTATTATACATAAAGAATTTTGTGATAGGCTTTTTCTTGCTCAATATTGTGTATTGAGGCTCAGTTTTTCTTACACAATAGATTTCAAAATGAGTATGCTTCCATATTTATTGAGGTATAATGAGCATTAAAACAAAAAATGCATGTTTAACTCCTTTATGAATTTGGTATACAAAAATTAATTTTAAATAGTGTTTTCACTTTGGGAACAAAAACGTTAGGCATGAAAACAGGGAACCTTCTTTGCTGAGCACAGATAGAAAGTATAAAATACACAGTGACTTCTTATAACAAAGTCCCTGTTTAGGGGAGTGGTTAGATGAAATAAAATCATTATGGGGGGAAAAAATCAAGATTTTGTCATGCATTTACCAATGTACCATAGAATTATTTGTAGTCATGCACCAATAAAATGGTAGGAGTTTGGCATTCATGTAATATGCTAAACAATACTATATGCAGAAGAATTGATCATCCTGGCTTCAGAAATACACCAAATCTAATTATTCTGTTCTCCAAACCTTGTCTGTTCTATGTTCAACCTGTAGTTTGTGAAATATTTGCATTCAATATTAAATATAAAATTTTCTCTGTGAGATCTCTTTATAATTGTTTAAATGTACGATTGCTTCTAGAATATAATTCTTTTTAAGATACTTCTTTTAAAGTAACTGCCTACAAATTGAAATAATTTTTAAGCATGACTTTAAAAAATTACAGTATTTTTACTTGAAACAAAGTCCATTTTAAAAATGGGGAAATTGATATCGTACAATGAAGTTTGTGATATTATGTTGTTTATGCTTCATTTCTAAATACAATTTCAGACAATTTAGTGATTGACTTGAAAAAAAATTGGTAGGTAATTTAAAGTCGTTCATGAAACCCAGAGTTCTTTATTTGGTAAAATCACGGAATTTTATAATTGCCCAAAATGTCTGTTTCTCATGATTTTTACCATCTATTTCTTCAACAATAGTAAAAGTTTGTTTCTCCTGTACATGGGATAGGCCAGTCTTAGTTGTGTATGGTAACTTAGAGCCCTGGGGAAGGTTTTGTTTTTAAAGATTTATTGAAAGTTCTTTAGAATGTTTGAAAAATAGTATCATCTATTATAATTCTGACATTCTGAATTTATTGTCATCTATTATAATTCTGAAATTTATTTTTAGAATTCAGTTTTTCAGAATTAGAACAAACTGGCAATACTTATAAAGATGTATGTATCAGTGACTAGGTAGAGACACATCCAGTCACTCACAGAGTGTGATCTGGGCGTGCCAAGTGAAGACTGGGATTGCTACCCAGGAGACATAACAAATAGTGTCTCGTCACTCACTCACGCTGGAATAAAAAAGGAACATTTACATCTTGCTTTGGTATTTTTTAAGGTTGTCCTGCATTTACAGTCCAGCTATGTGTCTGAAAGTTTTAGGTGCTCTTTCTTCCCTCCTGTGGATACTAAGGCCATAGCTTCTTCATCAAAGGAAACATTTCTGAATCTACCTTCCTTACCCAACTAGGGCGAAGGATGTCTATTCTATTTGACAATGCAAATGTTACTTTCTTTGTGTTACTATTATTGTTGTTGTTTAATACTTCGTTGTAGCAATTGTCTGATTTCTTTTCTGAATATATTTATCTTCTTTCTTTATGAGGTTTTTGCTTCTAGTCCTTATCTTAAACATTGTTATGGTTGTTAAATTTTAAGCCTTTTTAATTTTGTGAAGGCAAGAGGTGGAAACCTAATAAATACATGTATATGTAAAAATAAAAGAAAAAGAAAGTCTGTCCTACTCGTTCTTTGATAATTTCAATTTTAAATATTAAAATGTTTTAACACTCTAAAAATTGTTTAAATGTTTTCTAATCAGCTCACTTTTAAGAAGTCACGACTTATCTCTTCTGTCGGTCTCCTTTTGTACTTGTGTGTTTTTAATCCAGAGACCGTGTGTTTATCTTGAGTCTCTAAGTAAATTTATAAAGGCACCGATATTTGATACAACAAAAGGGATATTGAAATCTTTCACTCATTTTAAAACAAAAACTCAATCTTCTTTCTGAGGAAGAAGGAGAAGTTTTTCTATAAACAGAGTCGCAACTCAAACCTATCTCAAGTCATGTTGCTTATTATATTGACGTTTAGAAAAATAATTCCTGTTTCATTTTGAAGATATGTAAGTACTTTTCAATGGAGTAACATCATGTGTTAGTTTGATCGTAGACTGATGATCATCTCACCGAGCGTTAACGTTTCCCTCCTCCCCTCTACTTACCGTAGAAGGTATGGCACTCGCTGCTCTCGATGTGGGAGGCATATCCATTCTACTGACTGGGTCCGGAGAGCCAAGGGCAATGTCTACCACTTGGCCTGCTTTGCTTGCTTTTCCTGCAAAAGGCAACTTTCCACAGGAGAAGAGTTTGCTTTGGTGGAAGAGAAAGTCCTCTGCAGAGTGCATTACGACTGCATGCTGGATAATTTAAAAAGAGAAGTAGAAAATGGTAAGTATAGACTGAAATACTTTTGAGTCCTTCAGGAAGGGAATACAGGAATAAAAATGGCTTTCTCCGAGCTCGTCTTAATGCATTATTTTATATAACATGTAGTCGTGGTAAAACCCATCGTGTACTCCACTGCGAGTGATGGTCTCCGTCTGCTCCCAGGGAGAGCCCTGGTGTATAATTGTTCCCCTGTACTTGCCTTCTTAAGGATGGGCCTTGGATGCACACTTCTAACTTTTTATACTTTTCACTCAGTATACAAGCCTAGGAGGAGAACATTGTGGAGTATATTTGTAGTACGTTTTAAAATCGAAGGGATTTTGCAATCCAGAAGTCGCATATAGTTTCACAACGAGAGAAGTCATGCCAGCAACCTGTTACTGTACGATGGGTGGACTCGTTTGCGCTCCCCATGTGTCTGATATGTTTTCTAAATGCAGGTAATGGGATTAGTGTGGAAGGCGCCCTCCTCACAGAGCAAGATGTCAATCATCCAAAACCAGCAAAAAGAGCTCGGACCAGCTTCACAGCAGACCAGCTGCAGGTAGACGTGACGCTGAATTCATGAATTTGAAGTTTTCCCCACCCAGACAAACCAATGTGTAAACAAAACCCTAAAGCCCAAAGCAATATCCATGCTGCTGAAAAAGATTTTTATGTTTACTAAAAAGTTAAGTCTGTTTTTATAAAAACTAACTTGGTGAATTTATGAAAACATACTTTTTGCCCTAAAATGTTTGTCAGTATTTCCAACCCTGTGATATGACGTGAGAAAGTCATTCAAACTCGGTTTCCCTGGGATCTGTTGGTGTCAACATCAAGGTGGAAACTAAATATTGTTCTGTCTTAATTTGCTGATAATATTCTAACCTAGGCCTTTGTAGTATTATATGTGGTTACAGTGGAGGGCGAAATATTTTGACACACTGAAAAGAAAGAATATGAGAGTCTAGGGGATACTGATGTATTAGTTATTTTTCAATCAGACTGCCACAGGTTTTTAATGGACAAGGTTGTGTAGTTTTTGAGTAGAAAATAATCAAAACGCCTTAATGTAAACAAGAAACTACTGGTTGACTGTAACTCAGCAGACCCTTTCTTGTTTATAAAGGGAGTAGTAGGCGTCATTCTATAATTTGATGCTTAAGATTATGTCCCTGAAAAGGGAGGGATTCTTTTCAGCTTAGTTACCTTAAATATAATTGTCATAAATTTAATTTATGCACATTGACAAGAAAATAATTATTCCTTGCTTTATATTTAAGTCTATACATGGAATGATTCTTGCCCTTTTGCAGATTATGAAATCACATTTTCTAAAAGATTACTGTTGGGGAGGTATTTGTTTTATATTAAGGTAAAGTAATGTTTATGGACCATCTACCTTGTGATGGTGGGTGCTGTACACATAGTATCCATTTTAGCTCAGACTTTAAAGGTTACAGTGTTAGCAGTGTTAAAAAAAAAATGAATGAAAGAAACTTTTGAAACCTAGCATGCATCCTGAAATCTGCCAGTATTTAAAATGGATACAATAAAATGTTTCAAAAGAGAATTTTTATTTTGAGAAGGACTAGGAAAGAAACCTTGATGTGACACAAATATTCCAAGGGAAGTTGGTATTGGAAAATACTCTAGCATTAAAATCTAGATTCATTCTAAATGTTTTTCCAAATAGATGATTGTTTTTGGATTTCTTAATTTAGGTATAAAGTATATGGTCATTAAGTAATAAATGAAGTATAAGGCAATTGAGAGAAATATGTATTTCTGATTGAACCTTGTTTTCTGGGTGCTTCGCTGGGTTGTAATAAACATCACACAATGCCCCAAGTTAGAAGATGTGAGTACTTGGGGGGAGACCTCGAAAATGGCTCAGCCGCTAACAGGTGCCTGGGTTAGAATAGAATCTCTAATAGAAATACAGGGTGGACATAAAGTTTGTGTGCGGTTTAAAATAGTTGTAACATGAAATTGTACACGAAATTTATGTCCACCCTGTATAGTCTATTTTTTAAATAGGCTGGCGGTAATAATTACAAGGTTGATAACTGACATTTGCTGGAAAAATTATTAAAATTCTAATTGAAAATTAGGAACCAAAGGTTGTTATGCTGCCTATGAAAAGATCGTTATAGATAGATTAAAAAGGAATGATATTTGGGGAGGGGGTTCTCTGTGTGCTAAGTCCTGTGTCAGGCATTTTATCTATATTATCTCCTTCAATTTTTAGAATAATTTCTAGATGTAAATTAGCCACATCCAACAGGTACAGGAACTCCCCTCAAGGTAGACCACCAAGGGAATGCCAGAGAAGAGACCTAGACCCTTCTCACCAAACCTCTGCTTTTCATTTTGCTTGGACGTCTAGGAGACCATGAGTGGAATTATGCCTTAACAAAACTCCACTTAATGGAAGCAGCAGTAGTTAAAATGAAAGAGTGAAATTCTGTATCTTGTAAATAGCATTATGTTTTTAAATTGAAAACATGCATGAAATATTTAAGCTGTGCATTATGGTGTGGAAAGGTGATCTGAACCATAAGTTTTTAACAATGTATATCAGAATCTTAAGTTTTAAAAAAATAAAAGCATTAAGTAATGTGCTTTCAAAGCATATTCTCATTTATTCACTATTTATCAGCATTTATCTTCTGCCAGAGCTGGCTGAAACAAATAAGCTATAAGAATTATCCTCAAGTGGTTCTTTAGGAATTTGGGAGAGCTATAGATTTTTTTTTAAATGAATTCATTTATTTTAGTCAGACCCACTATTATAGGAGGCAATGTAACCTTCTTCTCAAACTGTCCCACCTTTTAGAATGCCAAATATATTCAAGTGGAGCTTGAATTTAGGAAAATAATAAAATATTCCGGGTGACCAGTGAGTAAGTCAAGACTGCCTCTTCGGTAGCTGTTTCAAACCGAGGAGCGTTCAATTAGCACAAATAAATAACTTTCCAAAATTCTTCTTTATAAACTAATTGGAAGAAAAAAATAACTTAGGACTCAGAGGATGTGTTAACAGATATCAGTTCTATAAATGTGACAAATTTGAAATACATTGAAGAAGTTCCTGTCAATATGATGGTTTGCTTATTATAGTTGGAAGCTCTTGCTCAACAACGATTAATATTAAACGTGCCAAAGTTAGCTCCTGCTTCAGTCTGTTTTCAGACTGAGTTGGTCAGCTGCTGCCATGCAACTCCTGACATTTCTGGTAGACCTCCTGTCCTTAAAATGAGTGCCTGCGGAGTTTCACTCCTTGGAAAAGAACTTGGAAACAGAGTGGGGTGGGTTTCCGCGCTAGTGACTGGAGAATAGTGAAGCTAAGGAGAAATTAAAAGGGTCGTGTGTTTTTGTGTGTGTGTGTGTGTGTGTGTGTGTGTGTGAGTGAGAGAGAGAGAGACTAAACACAGGCACTATTAATAGGAAGGTCAGCAAACACATCTTACTTTTCCTTTACAATATCCACTTTCTAAATGACCGGTATTGATTGAAGTTTTGCTTTTTTCCTCAATTAGAAATTGCTTTATTAAATGTAATTTTGTTCCATTATTCAACTTGTGAATTATACATGCATTTATGAAAGCATATTAGTTTTGTTTTACAAATTATCAGTAATGACCTGACAAATTCCCAATTACCTGTTTAGCCTTTTCTATTTCAAACATTAAAAACAACGATATAATTAGTTTGCTTATTCTTTTTTCTCTTTGGGACCTTATGTGTCCAGTTATATGTAAACACAGCTCTATTTATATAGGGAGATATTACCGTAACACGTTTGGGGTAAGAAAGAAAGAATGAAGCGAACTGAGTGACATAAACTTTTAGGCCAGTTCTGCCCTTTTTAAAGAAAAAAAAAACCCATATTCTATTTATAGTGAGTATAGAGATACAATGTAGCTGGATAGGAAGCTAAGAATACTTAATTCTAGAAGAGTCCCTAATCAGAAAGAACTTGTGACAATATAATTTGTAAACCTCAGAGGTTTCCTTGAAACACATTGGCCATTTTCTCCACACTGTCTTCAGATCTTTATTGAAATGGACTTTTATAAAAAAAAAAAAAAAAAAACTCTCAGCATCGCAGCTTGTTCACTCTCTAGGGAAGAAGAAGAGATCAGTTTTCTCTAGGGATAAGAAGAATAGACAGATGTCCATTGACCTCAAGGAACTCACATTCTGCTATGGCGAGTGGATTTGTAAACAAATTATTTAGCTACCCTGTGACGAGTGCAGTGACTAAAGATAAAACTGTGAGGGGACTGTCGTGGAGAACGCACTCAATTTTGCCTGCTGGGAAAGGTGTCTAGGCTAGCAGACCTCGGGGTCCTTAGGAAGCTTGGGGACCCACATCCCACACTTGCAAGCACGATCACAGTGGATGTCAAACTTTCCTCCCTTAACCTTTGTGATAGCATTCCTCACAAACTGTAATACTTCCCCTGTTGACTTTCAGTAATAAAGTTCACGTTTCTGACTTGATTCCCGTGATGATTCTCTTTTCTGAGAGAATCCAAGGCTTTTGGCTTGTGCTGTTATTCTGCACTCCCTGCCCCCCGCTTCTTTCCTTTACATTGCATTATAGAGGGTGTCCCCAAACTTGCCTCTGAAGTCTCTGTACATAGAGAAAAGGGGAAATTATAGCTAAGTGTACCTTTATTTACAAAAGCGTCCTGACAAAATTTTACAAATTATTTTCTACATGTTGACCACCTCTTTGTAAAATGTTGTCAGGAATGTTTTGTAAATAAAAGTACATTTGGCTATAATTCCCATTCTCCCCATGTCTGGCAAGTATAAGGGTGAGTTTAGCATCACCTTTAGGTAGTTCTCGGCATGTCTACATCTTTCTCCCAAGAAATTAAGACTAGGGACGGATGATTCATATCTTGCTATATCATCACACTAGGCTGAATGGTTCTTATCAAAATATTTACATCAGAGTCACCTGGGAGCTTTTCCCATATTATATATAAAGGTTTAGGCCCTGAAAATTCTTACCAGTGGGTTGGTGGGTTTCTCTTTATGAGACACTAGCTATTTTGCATAGAGCAAGTGCTCCAAACCCTGGTGGAGTCAGTACAGTTAAGTGGAATCCATCTGTTGAGCTGCGTGTTATTTGCAGAGTAATGAAAATTGTATTGGGGGCTTTGAACCTGTTTAGCTCAGCAAAAGTTGCGGATAAACATGCTATTATTTTGCATTAAGTTTTCTAGTGCTGGCAGTTTTTAACAAAACAGAACAAAAAATTATAAATGAGACTCATACTATTTGTGCATTTCAGTTTTAAGTTTTAAGAATGAAAGAAAAGGTGAGCTTAGTTTTAGCAGCATTAGTTGGGAGAGACGGTTTGATGTTGAAATGGGTTTTGTAAAGCTCTTTGCATAGCAACGTGTGTGTCAATTTACAGATTATTCATTATCTTTCGCTCAGACATGTTTCCCACACTGAATGTCAAGTAAGAAAATACAACTATGTTCACATCATGTCTTATTTCTCTTTCAATCAAAATGCAAAAAGACAACGAAGCTGCTTGTTTTTAGGTATTTACTATTATATCTATTTTTTAAAAAACAGGTTATGCAAGCACAATTTGCTCAGGACAACAACCCAGATGCACAGACCCTCCAGAAACTGGCAGAAAGGACAGGCTTGAGCAGACGTGTGATACAGGTGATTATTTTAAAGGCGAATTAAGAGATAACTAGAATTTCTAATTCTGGGTCTCATGAGTGTTCATTCATGTCTGTGTGCAGAAATGTCAAAACATGAGTTTCCCGTTTTAAGTCTCCTCATACTCTGCATCAGTGTTTTAAAACCTGATATGAGTATCAGGGTTTGGGCTGGGCTGGGCTGTCATTTGCCAGCTGCCCCTGTGCACACCTTACTTCATTCAGTGCTCACAGCAACCCAGAGATCTTGAAGCTAGAAGATGACTGCACTTCCATGCTAAATCTGGCTCTGAGGCCAGGGGCTTTTTCAACATTTTCTGTGACTGTGTATGGAGGGAAGTGCTGATGGCCTTTGCTAAATATCCAGGAAGAGGGAGAGGTGTGAGCAAAGCTAAGGAGTGATGAGATAAAGCAAATTTATTGGACGATAGCATTTGTGTTTGGGAATTACAGGCCATGAAATTGTTGAAGTGGGCTATACATGCAGAGGGCTCTCCTAAAGAAGCCACTATTTGTGGGTTTAGGAAAAAAGAGTTAGTGCTGGTACATTGGAAGAATCAGAGTTGAGAGAGGCTAGCTAGAGGTAAACGGCACAGTGGGGATGTCCAGCAAGGTAGTGATTTTTTTCTTTAAGAGACTTGACTGGGGCAGTGACCCTAGAATTCATTTGAGAGACATTTTACTGACCAGGGACTAATGGCAGGTGACAGAGGTGAGAAAGATAAGAGACGGGATTAGAGGCTATATTGGGGAAACCAAGAGGAGGCAGAGAATTATGGAGTTTAAATTTCGAAATCAAAGTGTCCATGGGAATTTTGCCATTGACAGAAATAGGAAGGTCCACAGAAAGCTGGACTGGTAGTTGAGAGGAGGAATTCCTTTCCTGCTGCGCTTAGGACACAGTGATAGTGGCAGTGGGCAGCTGAACAGATATTTGAAAGGATGAACATGACTCAAGCAAAGAGATCTAATATCATAAAATGGAATAAGATCCTTTATTTTCTAATTTAGACGAGGTGTTACTATGTTGCTCAAGCTGGTCTTGAACACCCGGCCTCAGCCTTCCACAGTGATCCTCCCATCTCAGCCTCCCACAGTGACGGGCACAAGTCACCACACCTAGCCAGGATAGGATCCTTTAAAAAGAAATCATAGAGTGTAAAAAAGTGAGGAATGGACTTTAGGGAGAGAGTAGATTAAGAGACTGTTCAAATAGACATAGAAACAGCCAGAGACAAGGAAATAATTGGTGGAGAAGCAGCATGCAGGCTGAAAAGGTGGGGTGAGGTCAAGAAAGAGGTGGCCAGCAGCATAAGATGTTAGAACGAGACCAGGAAAATGGGAAATGATTCTAGTTAATACTCAAAGTTCAAAGAAGTTTAAGGAATGAAAGCAAATAACCACGAAAGACATAGATCAAACTGAGTAGGCAAAAAAGGTCAATTTCCGCGCTGGGCATGTATTTTCTTTCTTAAGTTGGGTGGCTGAACCAGAGGTGTTTATTCTTTTCCAGACTTGAAGTGTTTGTATATATGCATATGTGTAGCTTGTAAAATTTAAATAGCCCTTCACTGTAGTTTGGAAAACTCAAGTACTGTGATCTTAGTGATCGTTACCTCTTTGCACAACACTTCAGATTACTAGGCCTCAATTCTCATATGGAAACGAGGTCAAGCCAATTTTGAGGGAAAACAGTGAACAGATACAGGGGGAGTCTCACCCTTCCTGGCTGTAAGTTTGCTTAGTAAGACATTTGTTAAAAAAATGCAAAGATAGTATTTTTCATTGTTTTACCACTAAGTAGATTCCATTCAGTATATAAGTTATTGGAGATAAAACGATACTTTGGAGAAACTCTGGGAATCATAGTGCGGTATAGCCAACATGTATTAGGTTATCTAGCGCCCTCTGGGCTGTGGGTAGGTGTGTTCTGTTTATCATAAGAGGAAAAGGCAGGTGGCAGCAGCAGTTCCCCTGTACAAGTTGAGAAATGTCTGAATAGGTCGTCTCTTGGTTGGGTGAGGCTGGTGACAGTAGTGGCACATGTTACAGAGCCTGTGGGCAGAGCTATGACGGATGGCGTATGTGGTCTTCAAATAGGTATCTTAGAGTCTGATTCCCTGAGAATGGGGCCTGGAGGCACCTCTCACCCTTCTCCTTGATAATTGCCCAAGTCCATCCTTTAGGTGCTGGCTTTCAGCCACCTGCTCAAGGCTGCATACCCCATTCAATTATTGACTATCATTCCTTTTGTATTCATCCCTGAGTTTATTTTGCCAGCCCTCGATTTTTAAGTCCCAGTAACAGAGTGTTATCCTTACAATCAAGCCAACTTTTTCTTACAAATTCTTCGCAGCTTCCATTAATGCAATCACAGGGTACAATGTGGTATATGTACACCATGGAATATTATGCAGCCATAAAGAAAGATGGAGACGTTACCTCCTTCATGTTTACATGGATGGAGCTGGAAAACGTTCTTCTTAGTAAAGTATCTCAAGAATGGAAGAAAAAGTATCCAATGTACACAGCCCTATTTTGAAACATTACTCAGTCTTGATGCCTTTGTGCTATCACGACCGCCCACCAGCCTGGGACAGAGACTTACCCCTCACCTTCCCTGGCCTCCCAGTTCCAACATGTTCTTACCTTAATTCCCTAAAGTATTTATCCCTTCACCTTTCTTTCTTCTCATGGTAGAACTGTTTGGAGTGAGGACAAATAAGTGCTGTGTTATTTTAATAGAGGAACGTCTGTGGTCAAGTTTTATCCCATGGTAGAGACCTCTGACACAGGCACCTGGAAGCACCCTGGGCAGTGTAGCCTCACTTGCCTGAGTCAGGTGCCCTCATCTCTGTGGGGGAGAGGGCAGCATGGTGGGCGGGAGGGTCAGCACTTTACACTTCGTGAACACTTTCACCAGGGGGTGTGTTTGTGTTTAGTTCTACTTAAACATTACAGTGTTTTCCTTATTACAGACCTGACCCTAACATGCTTCTTAGGGACTAGCCTACGTAGTCAGAGAAATTGCACTCAGCAGGTGGAAATGTCACTGGAATAACTGGATCAAGAGGGCGGTAGAAAGCTCTGAATTCTCAGTAGGGATTTTAGTTTGGAACAAGAATTTGAAGTCAGTCCAGCAGGTGTCTGTGAACCTGGTTAGTAGATTTGGTTTTATTTCAAAAGTTCTCATTCACGGGGATTTTTCTGTTTTCTTTGTATGTTATTCTGAATGCCAGTGGAAAAACAAAGAAGACTTCTTTGGAAATCTTGATTTTTCCCTCTCTTTTCTCTCTCTCTCTTTTTTTTTTTTTTTTTGAAGATGCAAATTTAGCATAGCATCAGTATTTAAATAAATCACCAGAGAACTATTATCTGAGCAAGAACAGTGACTACTATTACCTGAATAAAATGTTTGCTGTTTGCAGAATGTTTTAAAGGCGTGTTTACACTGACACTATGCTGGTGTGGTAGTGTGATGGGGTGGCGTCCATTTTTAGACTGAGTTGGCAACAAGCTCAGAGCTGGAGTGTGACCAGTCCCCTTGCTTCTCTCCCCACGCAGGTGTGGTTTCAGAATTGTAGAGCACGCCACAAGAAACACGTCAGCCCTAATCACTCCTCCTCTGCCCCAGTCACAGCAGTCCCACCCTCCAGGCTGTCTCCTCCCATGTTGGAAGAAATGGCTTATTCTGCCTACGTGCCCCCAGACGGGACGATGCTCACGGCGCTGCACAGTTACATGGATGGTAGGTATCCCAGCGTCTAGCAGCTGTCAACCAATCAGCAACCGGCAACTTTTAACATTAGACTATATTACCCCCATAGTAGCTGGAAGACATTGTGGGAGATACAGCAGAGAGCCAAACCATCCACACATTCTTCCTGTGATTGCATTTTTAAGACACAAGTTTAATTCCAAATTTGCAGCTAAAATACAATTATTATAATGATGACTCTTAGTGCTTGATACTTACTTAGACATTTTTTGCTTTCACAATTTATTTTTTTTTGAGACAGAGTCTCACTATGTCTGATAAATATTTAAATAATTTATCTTCCCATGATCTAATTATCCACGCTCAGATCTTTAGACTGGCGTTTACTAAGTTTTTGTTAAAGACACTTTTTGACTGAAGCAAATCATACCTGTAGAAAAGGGTATGCACAGTAATGACACAGCGAGATGCATTAATGAAGTGACCGTCTCCCTGTAGACACGGTCCAGAGGGAGCCCTGGAACTCAGTTAACACCTGGGAAGCTTCTCTTCTCTCTCCCGCTCACTCTCCTTCTCATCCAGAGTAACTAGCCCTGGCTTCTAAAGACACACGTTCCTTAGCTTTTCCCTTTCTTTGAACCAGGCAGGGTGTATCTTGTGTCTCACTTCTTTCAGTGAGAGAGTCTTACGTTGTGAGATTCATCTGCCCCGTTGGAAGACTCAGTGGTTGGATTGTTTTCATTGTCACGCAGAATTCCGCTGTAGAAATACACCACCGATTTATCCATTTCAAGTCTGGTAGACACCTGTGTTTTCCCCAGTTGGGGCTTTTATGAATATGCTGAATGGGCCTTGTTATCCATGCCTTTTGGTGCACATTAATTCATACTTTTATTTGGTATGTACTTGGAGGTGAAATGTAGGATGATAGGGTTTGCACATGTTCAACTTTGAATCAGTGCCGCCAGACAGTTTTCTGTAGGGACTAGACCAGTTTACACTTGGACCAGCAGCACGGCAGATAGTTTAAGGTGCTTCCCGTGCTCACCGACACTTGGGGTGGAGCAGTTTTTTAATTTATTGAGTTTAATGATTGTATAGTGCCATCTCATTATACCTGGCTTGTCCCTCATGACTGAAGTTGAGCATGTTTTCTATTAGACATTTGTGTATTATTTTTGGCTATTGGTCTGCTGGCTTGTCTTTTTTTTTTTTAAGTTGATTTTAGTTCTTAACATAATCTGCTTATTAAGCTTTTTGATAATTACATGTGTTGGAAATATCTTCCCAGTGGCTTGGCTTTTTCTGCTTTCTTAATGGACTGCTTGGTTGAACACAGATTCCTAATTTTTAGTTTAATTTATTTCCTGAGTTTTTCTTTCCTGGGCAGAGCTTTTGTTGGTGACCTGTTCAAGAAATTATTTCTACTCAAAATAGTCAACTTATTTCTCCTATGTTATCGTCTGGAAAGTTCATTTTACCTTTGACATTTGAGTGTGGTGTGAAATAGGAAATGAAGCTTTTTGTTATATTGATGAAAATAAAAGTTTTCTAGCTCCTCTGTGGAGCAACATCTGCCATAAATCAAGTGTCTATCTGCTGTATGTGTCAGTTTCTATACTCTCCATTCTGTTTTATTATTTTGTTTATTTTTGTGTTACTATCTACCATTTTAATCATGCTAGGTCTATAATTCTTAATATCCAGTAGTACAGATATTTCTGGTTTTATGTTGTTCAGGTTTGTATCACCGATTTGTGACCCTTAGTATTTTCATAAGTTTTACCAAATTGTCAATTTCCATTAAAAAGGCAAAACAATTAAGATTTTGATAAAAAAAAAACCTACTATAGTTAATACAGAGAGCAATTTTAGAAAACTTCCTTTTTTTTTTTTTTTTTTTTTTCAGTTTTTGGCCAGAGCTGGGTTTGAACCCACCACCTCTGGCATATGGGGCCGGCACCCTACTCCTTTGAGCCACAGGTGCCACCCTGAAAACTGCCATCTTAATATCATCTTCCATCCCATGAATGTCAGTATCTCTTTCTATTTAGGTCTTCTTTTAATTATCTCATATTTTAGAATTTTCTGTTTAGTAATCTTGCACATCATTTATTAAATTTATTCCTCAATATTCCTTTTGATGCAGTTGTAAGTGGTATTTCCTTTGTATGTAGAACCCTAGGTTGGCAGTTAATTTTTTCCCCACACTTGGAGGATATGGTTACGTCGTTCTTTGACTTACATCCCTTCTGTTGTTTTGCATATGGACAGCTAATGGCCTGGCGTGACTGAATTTTTATTTTATTTGTATAATTTTTAAGGGGCACAAGTGCAGTTTTGTTACATGGGTCCATCGTGCAGTGGTGAGAGCCGGGCTTTGAGGGTAACTATCACCCAAATAACGTACGTCGTGCCTGCTGAGTAATTTCTCACCCCTGTTTCTCCTCCTGCCCTTCTGAGCTCCCAGGTCTATTATTCTACACTCTATGTTCATGTGTATATGTTATTTGGCTTCCGCTTACAGGTGAGAATATGCAATATTTGACTTTTTATTTCTGAATTGCTTCACACTTAAGATAATGGCCTTGAGTTCCATACAAGTTACTGCAGAACACATTTCACTTTTTTATAGCTGAATAGTATTCCATTGTACGTATATACCATGTTTTCTTTACCAGTTCAACTGCTGATGGACACCTAGGTTAAGCTGATTCCAAATCTTTGTCATGGTGAGTAGTGCCATGATAAATCCATGGGTGCTGGTGGCTTTTTGATATAATGATTTATTTTCCCTTGGGTGGATACCCAGCGGTGGGATGGATGTATCAAGTGGTGGTTCTATGTTTAGTTCCTTTTGTTGAAGTCGGCTGTTGATCTTCTTGCTCCTTTGACAGTAAATGTCTTTTTCTCCCCTCAGCTTTTGTTGGTATTTGGCTTTTACAAATTTTATTACAGTGTCCCTAGTGTGCTTTTTGAGTGTAACCTCTTTCATTAGGGAAAATTCTCAGCTTTGTCTCTTTGACTTATTTCTACCCCTATGAAAAAAAAATTTAAATTTCAAATTTTTAAGCTTCTTGACCTTATATGTTTGTCTCTGAACCATCTCCCAGTTCCATCCACTAATTCCACATCTAATATTCTGTAAAAGTCACCCATCAAGTTCTTAATTTCAGTTATTTTTCAGTTTTAAAATTTCCATTTATACGCTGAAATCATATACTCTATTGTCACTATTTTATTTAAATTGTTGATGTAATAGGAAGTCCTTGACTGATAATGCCACTATCTGCATCTTTTTGAGTCTGTCCCACTTTATTTTTTCTTCTTTGTTTCCAGTCAAGTCATGTCATGGTTATTTCCCTTGTTATTGAATTTTGGATGTTGAGTATGAAAAACTAAAAATTATTTTAGGTTCTGGATGATATCTTGCACCGGAGAGAATTAGTTTTAGCAATCTAGCTGAGGAAGTTAGGTAAGGGAAAGAGCACCTTAATCCGGTCAGCCTCCGGTCAGCCTCTGGTCAGCCTCCAGTCCTCATGAAGGCTGGTGAATTTCTGTTCCACTCTTCCTTGGATTCAGCCCTTTGAGATCCCAAATGAAAGCCTGTTTGTTTTTGTCGTTGTTATTGTCGTATTTAACCAGAGCTTCTCCTCTTCCCTGGGCCCTCAGCTTTGATTTTTGCTCCCCACCATCCTGCCACAGTTTAACTTCTGAAGACTGTGCTCCCTTCAGTCTGCAGAATTACCTTTGGTTTTAAAATTGTCGCTGTCCTTGCAGGATGCAAAGCATTCTCATCTTCCCTCCCTGTTCTGTGGGACTTGACTTCGCAAGTTCTCATGACTTCAGTGTCTTTCAGATGCCCTCAAACATATTCTTAAAAATTCCGTCCAACTTTCCTAGTTGCCATCAGAGGGAGATTTGGTTTGAAGCAACATAGCCCATGGTGAAAGCAGACCCTTCATTTTAGGATTCAGTGAAATAAAAATCAGAGCCTGTACCATTGTTGCTATTTACACTGACATTAAAATTGTGTGTGTGCACATGAGAGACTGTAGGGTTGCCTGAGTCCAGTGTGTGTCGGTGTATGTTTAGAGAGGTGGTCAACATTCTTAAAGGGGGCATCTCACACCGACACCTTCCTGTGACCGCGGGCAACCCTCCTACAGAGCTCCCATCTTTCTAGTTGCAGGGTAAACTGCAGGGAATGGGGCATGGATGGAGGAAAATTCAAGTGGCAAAATAAAGATTAGAGCATAGAATCCTTTCTGGCTTTTTGTTTAATCCTGTACTCACCGTCTTTAAGTTATTCCTCGTGCTGAGGTCAGTGACATGATGGCTGGCAGCTTGGTGCCCTTAGCGATAATGAATGATGAAGGCACATTGCCTTAGATTGTTTATGTTTGTTTTAAATTGGTTCTTTTCGCCCTACGAAACTGATCCACAAATTTCTTTCTATTTTATAGCTCATTCACCAACAACTCTTGGACTCCAGCCCTTGTTACCCCATTCAATGACACAACTGCCAATAAGTCACACCTAATTCCTTTTTTTCAGGGATAGAAATGATTAGGGATATAAACTTGTCATTTATTATGTATAAAATACCATGAAAGATATTAATGTTAATTTTTTATTTAACACCTAACGCATTTCCGACATCACGTTGCTGCCCAGGTATGTATCTCTAGTTGGCCTGCAAGACACTTTTATTAATTCTTCATTGTTTGTAAAACTTATGTTTACAAGAAGAAAACAAACCAGAACCTTTTTTTTTTAAATTGTCTGGAAATAGTTCACTCTAGTGTGTGTCTGTTAATTTATTTGTCATCAAAAGAGCACTTTGCCTGAGAGAAAGGACTGACAAGTGTGCAAAATGTTTACAATCTTTTGTGAAACTGTAGTTTATCATTAGTTTGTATCTGTAAGTTATTGTTATAAATATTCCCTGTTTTTTTTTTGTTATATACAACTTTATACTTCAAAGCTTGTATCTGTGAATTTGCAACTGAAATTTATTTTGCCAATGTTTTCTCAACGAACTGAATAAAGCTTCTGTTGTAGCATGCCATGCGAACACAGGATTGTGTTTGTGAGTGATGAATTATGGCTGTAAATGACACTATAGTTTAATAAGCCTCCCGCTCTAAGTTTATTAAACGTTTTCCATGCTTGGGAAGGTTTCAACCTATTTGTTCTTTTTGTGTGTTTTCAGCAGTATGTTGACTTTGTTCTCTTTAGGCTATAGCAACTCCGAATTTTAAAGCATCATTTTGTTTTGAGCTGTATTGTGTGTACGTTTGGGTAGGAAACCTACCTGTCGATGACTGTGCTTACTCAACAGAACACCTGGGGAAAAAATCTAACTTGGCAAATAATCTCTTTTAAATCAGCAAATAAAATTAATTTGAAAGAGAAGACTGGACACTTCTCAAAGGGCCTTTTGGAGTATTATACCTCATGAATAAAAGCCATGAGAATGTATTTCTTCAGGGGTGAAAAGGAGGACTCTCTGTATGTGGAGTTTGTGTGTGAAGTTTCTAGAGCAAGGAGTCCTTTGCATGTTCTTTGGAGCGAATACCATTTAGGGATTAGGATCCTGAGAGCTGCCATCTGCATCTCAGGACTTCATCCTAGATGGCAGTGAAAGTATAAAAGTGAGTAGTACCACGCCCACTGACTTATCTGTAAAGAACTTATCAGTGTCTTATACCATTTCAAGATAAAAAGGGTAATAAGAAAAAACCCTAAGAATCGTAATTTTGTCTTTAACTGAGCAGATTCACATCTGGCTGAGGACTGGATTTGATATGGAAGCGTTTGTAACTTTATTCTGGTAATCATAAATGGAACTAGAAAGCAGTCACGTGGACACAAGTAACTTCTGCCTCACACCAGAACCAACAAACCTGCTTGGCTGTGGGAGAAAAGAGGAAAGAAAATTTTGTTTGGTTTGGTTTTTCTTTTAAAGCTGTTACTCTGGTTAAAATTCTCTTAGACCAGACACAAAGAACATAGCCAAAAGTCACTCCATCTGATCCTGTGAGCTTGATACTAATCTCCTTGGGTTTGTGTCTACCTGCCCCAGACGTGGAGTGGTGAAGTCAGTTTTTACCTTTGCCAGATGTCAGGGAAAGCTCTTGTAGTCCGGCCAGGCTCTGCGCGGTTAGCAGCGTACAGCATTTCCCAGCTGGATGTAATTGGCATCCGTTCCTGGGAGGCGCCCGATTAGGACCATTGGTCTTCTCTGCTGTCTCTTCCTGTGCTCACCACTCTGCCCGTGGACAGAGGGTTTTTACAAACCACATCACTACCCTTTTTAACTCCAAAGTTTAACACCCCAACTTGAAAGTAAATATTCCATAACAGGAAGATTCAAAGATACCGGAGTCAATGAAAGGAGGTAGATAGGAAATTACTTAGAAAAGTTGCCTGGGATAGAAGCATCTGGCTGTGCTCTTTTCTTCTGGTTAAGTCCAAAGATTCTAATTTCAAGGATCTTTTCATGTGAAGTAATCCCATTTCAGTGTTCACTGACAGCAGGTAGGCACAGTACTTCCTTACCTGAAATGGGGGATGATCCGTTTTTGTGGAGATTGGAGGAAGAAAACTTTGCATTGTTGGAGTGGCAGAGACCTAGGTAAGATGTAATTATCGCTTTCATGTTGAGAGATTCAAGAGCCGTAAGAGCGTAGAATATCTTTTTCTAATTCACCTCGATTCAAACGTCCAACTGAATTCACACTAAATTAATATTTCTTAGGTGATTCTTTTTAGTAGAACAAGGTAGCATTAACATTTCATGGTAATTTTACAAATGTCATTCTTAAAATTCCACATTATTATAAATTATGAGTACATCTGTTTTGAATACCCCATAATAAACATTGTTAGATAGAATCACAGCTCATGCTTTTAAAAATTGTTGCAGGCGTTTGAAAGCTGAGAACTGTAGCATTTCTTGACTTGGCATGTTATACATATATGTAGTTACGCTAGCAGTATTACTAGACTACGTGGGATCTTATGGCATGGAGGACTCCCTAGTGAGTAAGAGTAGTCCTTCTATCTTGTTATGAAGAACAGAAGTCATTTATATTGCAGTGTACTAAGTACCAAAAGAACATTAGCACAGGAGAAATTCTCAACAGCTCCTCCCGACCAGGAGGGGAAGACATGGATGTTGGCACCATGTGACATTTGCCCTTTTGAAAACACCTAGAGTTTTTGAGAAATGAATGCAAATCCCAAACCAGGTCAGATGCACTGGCTAACAGCTAATAAACACCCGCCTGGGTTCATGGAGTAACTATTTAATAGCCCGATCTTTCCTTTTAATATCTTTCCAAGTCAAATGTTCATCTACAACATTATTTTGGTATATAGTCTTATGGTCTGAATATGTTTCCCCCCAAATTCATATATCAAAATACAATTGTCGATGTGGTGGTATAAAGAGGGGAGGTTTGGGGAAGGTGACTAGGTCAGGAGAGAAGAACCGTGTGAATGGAAGTGGTGCCCTTATAGAAGAGGTCTCGGGACGTTTGCTCCTTTGTCCTCACATGTGAGAACACACGGCAGGTGCCATCTGTAAGGGACAGGCCCTCCTCACCCTGAATCTGCTGCCTTGATCTTGGGTTTCTCACCCTCCACAACCACGAGCAGTAAGTTTCTGTGTATAAATTACCCAGTACAAGGTGTTTTGTTACAGCAGCCTGCACACCCTGCGGTATTATTGCGTGGATGAAACAACTTGTTAGATATGTATGTTGTATCTAATTTTTCATTACGATGCACATGGTGTGACATGAGCACTTTCATTTGCTCTGAGCGCTTCCGATGTACTTCGTTAGATGTTCCCCACAACCTCATCAAAGAGATTCTATTATTAACCACCCTTATTTTACAAATGTGAACATTAAAAAGTTAGTATTTTCAGTATCTTGGTGACAAGGAACAACGCTGGAATTTGAAGATAGCAGCTCCATGACTCCATAGGCCACCTTCTTACCCACTATGCTCTACTTTCCTTTTTTTTTTTTTTTTTTTTTGAGACAAAGTCTAACTATGTTGTCTTTGGTAGAGTGCTGTGGCATCATAGCTCACAGCAACCTCAAACTCCTGGGCTCAAGAGATCATCTTGCTTCAGCCTCCTCAGTAGCTGGGACTACCGGTACCCGCCACAATGCCCCACTAGTTTTAGAGATGGGGTCCCACGCTAGCTCAGGCTGGTCTAGAACTCCTGACCTCCAACAATCTACCCATCTCAGCCTCCGAAAGTGCTAGGATTACAGGCGTGAGCTACTGTGCCTGGCCTTTACTTTCAGTGTTAAACAACACTGTAATGAGCATCTTCATAGTGATATTTTTAAGCACAGCTTACTTCCCTAGCGTGAATTCTTAGGAGTAGAATGGATGTGCATGCACAGTTTTGAGACAGAATGTATTGGTTGCCCCCAGAATGTTGCACTAAATTACATCTCCAACAGTGGTGTTCATGCTTCCAGAACCCTGTCTGTTCTGCCTACTGGTGCAATTAACATCTTAATTATTTTTTGTAATCTTATAGACAAAAGAGGTTTTTAAAAAACTTGGCAATTCATTTTTTACTCATTAGGAAATTTTAGTTTGCATTTCAGAGAACTAGTATCTTACAAAGGAAGTCAAGTTAAGCTGCTGCTTTTGAGACTTTTTCTCCTTCAGTTCTGCACCTATGGGTAAAATGATCATTCTTTAGGAATTTTTGAGCTGTTTCATCCACTTGACATCAAATACAGTAGAACCTCTGTAGTTGACCACCTCCCCACCTTGACTCAACTTAAGTTGACCCAGTTTTCAAAGACCAGACGTGCACCAGATGTGCTCAATGAAAGTTCCTTATATTGATCAACTGGTACGTTGACCAGTTTGTTACAGTTCCTTGATGGTCAGTGTGTTGAGTTTCTACTGTACGGTTCTTACTCTGGCACTTGACACTATTTAAACCCTGATATTCTATTAGCATTACTTTTATTACATGATCCTTCACACTTCCAAATGCTTCTCTGGACATTATCACACCCTGATTCAACAGATGGGGGAAATGAAATTTAGGGAACTTTGATGAACACAATTCAGCTTTTGTTTTTAATAGGAAGTATTCTCCAGACCAGCAGATTTTTATAGCAATCTGAGAATAAATTCATATTGCCTGCATGTCATAAGAAATTCTGAAGAAAACAGACTTCCATCTGCTCAGAGAATGTGAAAACCACTGCAGGAAACCCTTTCCTCCCTTTCCAGATTGTGTCATCAGGTACAGAATGTGTTGACTATCTGCCAGAGACCTGAACTTGATGGAGGCTGAGAGGGCAGTTTACAGGTGAAGAGTGTGTGTGCAGGGTGGAAGCGTAATGGGATATCAGAGGAAGAAAGAAAGGTGTTAAGAAGAGAAGGGATGGTGAATCCTGAGTGGGTACACACGTCTGTCTTGCATTCCACAGTTCCTGCCACCATGTAGGGAGCAAGTGAACATTCAGCGATTGAATGAGTTCCTGCCACCACGTAGGGAGCTAAGTTCTCAGTGATTGAATGAGTTCCTGCCACCAAGTAGGGAGCAAGTTGAGCTCTCAGTGATTGAATGAGTTCCTGTCACCATGTAGGGAGCGAGTGAGCACTCACCCATCTCAGTGCTCAGTAGGAAAGCAATCAGGATAATGCTCCAGGAATGAGCATTCTAGGATAACTTCAACTTCCTAAAAGAGCTCTTCTCAAATCCTGAAGGGAACTATTCACCTTCCCTTCCTTTAGCAAATGTGCCTGTGGAATGGATACTCTTTTTACACTGTTTGCACAGGATCGGAGACCCCTGGATTTTAGCACAGCCCCTGATATCTGTTGGTTGTATCACAGGGTGCTTAGCCTTCCTGGGTGCAGGTTTCCTCAACAGGAAAAGGAAGATTTTGACGAGGCTAGAGTGAGATTATAAATGGAAAATACATGATAAGAACACGATCTGTTAATTTAGAAGTGTGGGGCTGGTGGCAGGAGACCAGGCCCACTGAGGCTGGGCTGGTGGAGCTGAGGGAGCCACCAGGAGCTTGGCAGGCGCTGCCCTGCCCCCGGCAGCCCCAGGAGCACAGCGCTTCACTCACAGCTTTAAAGAGGTGGAGTGTCTCTGCTGGTAATGAGTTCCACGCTCTCAAATG